ACGTTGCTTCCCCCTACCTCCCGCACACTGTCCCCCTGAACATCGCATCTTTCTCACATTCAATCTCATCTCATCTCGCAGTCCCGCTTCATTTCACGGCTTCTTGCTTTGTTGGGCATGGCTCCCCCTTCACGGCTACCCAAGCAGAGGAACGATCTGCAGACGACGCTCTTCTCGCCCAAAGAAACGGAGAATGTGCCCATCAGCTTGCGCCATAATATACTACCGTTCTGGCCCATACACAGATGCGGAACTTCAAGAATCAGCCACGACGGAGGGAACACAGAAAGAACATGGGAAACACGAAATTCGCCAGGCAACATATTGAACCAATGGCATGACCAACACATCCGAACTTCACAGGAAACATTCACGGGTCTCCGAGGGGACATTCCCGAGCAGCCAGCCAGACAGCCGTCGTCACTCAACCGTCTTTCGCTCCCAGATCGCCCCATCTGCCTCTCCTCTCGCTTCCTTCTATTAAGATCATGGATCTTGCGTAAAATGGTTCGTCGGCAAACGCGAGCGGATATCAAGGCGTGAGCCCGCTTCGAATGAGTCCAATACCAGACCCGGATTATACCATCCAATGCGGATGCAACTCTACACTAAGGGCTCGTCCAAGGGGCCACGCGAAATGACCACACACCACCCACGCCAGAGGAGGAGGGCTGGCCATGCCATGCACCACTTGCATTGGGCTGGCACGCACGTCAATGGAGTACATTAGACGCACGCATCCGCATCCGCCGGCCGCCCGGCTGGGCGCCTGCTGGATGGATGAAGGGCTTTGACAGACTTGACAGCGGACTACGTGTGAGTGGCCAAAGCCTTTTCCCTCTCTCTTATGAACCAGGTGTTAAATTATCTACGGGCCTACTCGCAGGAGAATCTTTCTCCTTTCGTCTCTCTCCTCTGCTTCTCCCTCTTATGTACCTCCACCCCCTTGGCTCTATTACGTTCATTCCTCTCCCTCACTTTCACTTTTCCCTTCACTTTTTCCGTCTCTACGCAGCGTTGTTCCCACCCTCGCCTGCATTACTCCTCCGTCCTGGCCTAGCCCAGCCCAGTGCTGTGCGTATGGAGGCTCCCCTTTCGAGGTAGTATGCTACATTACGGTCACACACTTCGACAGCAAGAAGGACATTAACCTCCACCCGGGACCGTGGAACATCCACGTACAGCAACAAGCTGTGGACACCGTCCGAAGCCCTCGGGATCATCAACCGGGCCTTGACGGTAGATGTTTCGCCGCATTGACCCCCCACTTCCGGTCCCCAGGGCTCCGCATTTCCCGGACCCTGAACACTGCGCAATTATTAAGGCCAACTTCAAAAAGCGCTCGCTCTCCCACCCCTCCTCTCGCCCGCCCACGGCCTGGCCGCATTAGACCCCTCTTTCGAGAATCGAACCGGAAGGACGAAAGTTTGTGGTTGTCGGACAAGGAGGATTTCAACTGTCGCCTCAAGTGTGGCCACATTCCGGGGCTTAGATGATGATGACGCCTCCCGTCCGCGCGTCGTTCATCCACTGGACGGACTTGTTTGCCTCTCAGGCCGCATCATTAACATCGACACGGGCCGTCCCCAGGAATTTTCTCTTCAGCCATTGCCAGCCAGCTTGCAGCGAGCGGCACCAAGCAGTATCGACCACGCGGGCCGAAACCAGGGACACGAACAGGAGGCGACCCGACCGCCTAGTTCGGATTCCCTTTCGCCTTCGACCACCCCTCCATGGGGTTCCGGTACTCGAACGATACGGACGACTAAGGCTAGGGCCGAACAGGGGACTCATCTTGGACAGCAAGGAACACGCAAGACTTGGATGGGGAGCAAACACGCAATATCGGACACGAGAGCAAAATGCAAGACAGCCGGCAAAACGCGCCGGGTGATCTCCTCTGTTTTCAACACGGCAAACGACAAGGGGCTAGAACCCATGGGAAAGAAGACAGCAACGCATGATGACCGCCCTAAATCATTCACTACCATTTATCACCAACTGCCGGAAAACAGGACAGCAGCCAGAATATTCCTACAACTCTTTCAACATCTTTCATGCAGATAACCAAACAGCCCCCAGGGAGGTTGAAAACAAGAACGAACGCCACCGACAGATGCCACACTGTCCTCCGCAAAGGACATTTGGGAGAAAGACAACAAGAGAACAGACAGTTATGGATGACGACGGCCGGGCTGAAAAAAGTGGTTGTACAGGTGGTATCTCATTTGACGGCTTGTGACCGCCGGGGAAAATGGAACGATGGTCTTGAAAGGTGAAGGAAGCGAAGCTTGGTACAAATACAAGAAACGGACGCACGACGCCCATCCCGTATGGTTTTAAAGGTGGCCAAGAGGGACCAACGAAGGAGGGAACTCGACCCGGACGAGACTCGATCGACACTGCGACGGAGGGGAGGCACCGGGCCGGAAAGAAGCGAATCATTATCGACAACGAACCGCTAGGGCGGAGGAAGAAGTCATCAATCATTGCGGACGGCGCTGCTGCGGGTCCGGTTGTTCAAGCAAGCCGCCGATGTCGACACGACCGGAGGACCGCTCGTCTCTTTGCCACGATGGTTCCGGTTGAGGAGGCTGATGCGGGCCAGCGCGGATCGGAGGGAGCTGGAAAGATGGTTGCGGCGGCCGGGCGGTCGGCGGTAACTCACTGCGGGGAATCTGGTAGGATGACGGCCCGACAGCGTAGTCGGGACGGCTGGGTGAGGCCGCGTATGATGGCATGCCAGGGCTGACGCCTGGACTCAGTCCAGATGCCATGTGCGGAGGCTGTCCCGGAGACGGCCGGGGTGCAAGTGTGCTCTCGCCAAACCGAGGCCGAGAAGGCTCAAACGTCGCAGATATCGGCGTATGTTGGGCATATGTCTGTGACTGTGGTGGCGGCGGCGGAGCTTGTTGCTGGTACGAGTACGGAATGTCTCTGGCGTGAGGTGAAGGTGAGGGATACGGATATCTGGGCGCAGCGTTCAGTAGGAGCACGATAAAGTATATCGACTCCCGCTTCGCAAGACCCATGCGGACCGAGAACGACCGGGGCTGGCCATCGCTCGATGCGAAGATGAAGAAGTCTTGACGATCCAGTTGGAACCGCGACAGCTCATCCGCCTCAAACCGCAACGACTCGAAGACACGCTCCTGCTCGTGCTGGCCGAAGATGGGTGGCAGGTACACTGGATCTTTCCTCGCCCGCTCGTCCTGCATCTGCCGTTGGTGGCTCTGGACCTTTTCTCGCTCCGAGGGCACGACGATGTCGAAGAGTTTTCGACCTCGAACGCTGACGATGCCGACAGCATCCGAAAATGTCTGCGAAACTCGTGCAATATCCAACTCCATTGTCAAATATACGACCGGCTCAGGCGCACCCGGCGCTGCGGACAGGGGACGTGCGTAGAGGTTGGCATCAGCCGGCGAGGCCCGTTCGAGGTATCGAGGCGCAAGGGGTTCGCTTGGTTGAGACTTTAGAACGCGATAGGACTGACTACGTCGGATGGGGTCATCGTACCCTGAGATGGGACCGCCAGAAGAGTACAGACTCAACGGCCTCCTTGCTGCAGCTGCATCCTGCGGATGCGGATATGTAGAGGGCCCGTACCGGCCCTCTCGGTCATCCCTCAAGCGTGGGCGGCCACGCTTCTTGTGTTGCACGTCGACGCAGGCGTCTTCCTTGCCGTTGCTCGTGCATCGCGAGCAGGGTCGTTGAGCTAATTGTCGCGAACACGCAAGTCAGCAAACCGAACTGAGTAAGTACTCAAAAGCAAGACGACCGCTCCATGAAGAATGATCGCTGCAAGTGCAAGACAGAAGGACGCGCATGACGTCTTCCAAACTGCCCCAGACGCGAAGCGCTTGCTCGTGCCTGTAAACCCGCGTGGCTTAGACGTTTGCGCGGACGACGTTGTCCCCATCCGCCTGCTGCGTCGCATCCGACACGTCAATGACACGCTAGCCCAACCCACTTGGATCATCCCGCGAACCACAGCAGACACACCAGCGATCGGCTGGCGGAATCCACCCAAAAGAACTCCTGCTCAAGGGGAATCTCCTCCGCTTCTGTTTCAGACATGGCGCACGCGATAGCGTTCGATAGCAACCACACCAAAAACCTGCCGCCTTGCGATTGGCGAGTTCACCCAGATCCCAACCGTAATCAAGATTCGAGGGTTCGAGGGTCGCTCCCGGGGGGCCCGGTTTGTGACCCGCCAGTCTCCCAGCTGGCCGGGCCGAACTGCCGGCCGGGCGGCGCATCAGGAACCAAAAGCCTAGCCACCGTGGCCAGTCACTCGGCTGCCAGATTCCTTGGCTGTTCGCTGCTGATGGTGCTGCTTGCTTGGGATGGGAGCTGAAGATAACCCGTCAAGGCGCTGATGCTGGTAGGTATGACGCCGACGACAAACGTTCCTCGTTCGTCCTAGAAACCCAAAACCACGGACACGCCGTGGACCAGACCAGACCAGACAACCTTCACGTTGACGGCGGCGCCATCCCATTGCCATGCAACCACCATCTCAACTTCCGTCCGAGTTTCTGCGAATGATCCGCCCGAACGGGATCGTCTTCCCCTCAGGATCAGTCTCAGGTCCGGGGGTTGATCCCTGCTCCGCGTCGAGTGTCGCACGCTCCGGCCAGCTGCTAGGTTAATGCCGCGTCTAAAATGACACCTGCAATCTCAACGACCGGTAATGATGTCAGTTATCCTTCCCCCGGAGGACCCAAGAAGAGTGTGAGTCCCCTCCCAGCCGCATGCACGCACCCACACACGCGGGTCGCGGTGCCGTGCCCTTGCAGCGGTTCCCATTGGTATCGCATATCTATCCCAAAACAAGAAGAGAATGAAGATGCGAAAATAGCAAAACGAGAACGAAGGAAAAATTAGTGCCCGCGGGCCGTACATACCGTCACATCTAAGAAATGTTAGCGTCACCGTATCAAGACAACACCGGCCCGTTTCAGCGCCGTTGTGCGGAGGGGAGGAATAAGATCGCCTTACCGAAGATGGGCTCTTTTACATGGCACGCAGGCTGATGCCACATGGCCCTTTGTCTTTCGTTGCGTCTTGGGAGACGTGTAGGGGGCGTTCTCCTGGGGAGGCTGCTGCGGCATCGGTGCCGGGTAGTGTTGGTGTTGGGACGGAGGCGGCGGAGGGCCGGGCATTTGCATATACGGCGGCGGCCGTTGTTGCAATGCCTGGCTTGCCATGTGGGCGTATCCGGATGGCGGATTTCGCAAGTGGTCGTCAGGGCGGGGGTAGGAGTAGGCCATTCTGTCTGGCTGCTCGGTATGATAAGGTCGTGCTGGAGGCGGCGGGAGAGTCTGCGGCGGGGGATGTCCTCGGATGTCGCCCTGCTGTGTAGTCGGTGGTGGTGGCGGTCCTCCCCTGTAGGCATCTTGCGGGTTGATGGACGGATAGCTGCCATGCGGTTGTTGCCCTCGGTCACCAACCTCTTGGTTTGCTTTGGGCGGGAGTGGAGGAGACCCTGACATGGGCGGAGAAGGGTAGTCTCTGGGTTGAGCAGGAGTTTCGAACTCTGCTCTTGGAGGAGTTGCCCAAGTCAGGTCGAGGGCGAATCGCGCCAGATCGGATATGCCTCGGCGCTGGCCGAGCGAGTTAGACGACGTATCGCAATCGCTGCTGGTGGCTTGCATGGATGTTGTGATGCCGGCTTGAGCGAGCGTCCAGGTCGAGAGGCTCTCCGCGTCTTATTCCAGACGACGGCCCGTTTCCCCAGACTCTTCCAAGACAAGACCGGTTCTCTTGCCCAACGTTTCCAATCTTTTGCCTCCCGTGAAGTCGATGTCTCCCGAAAGGTAATCCGCGAGAATTGCCGATTAGTCCAGATGCTGCTGCTTGCCCTTCAATGCGTCGGAAGAAAGTGTAGCTGCTGCTGTTATGCGCTTTGGCGTTCGGTGTGGTTGGCCCCGTTGTGTTCGGTTCAACTCGGCAACGAAGATGTACAGATGGCCGGTGGCTTGGGAGAAGCGATCTGTCTGCGGATAGGTTTTCCAAGAAGTCTCTGCCTTCCCAAATAAGATCGACGGCCCCGAGGTCGGTTCGTGATTCTCACAATCGAAAGTGGCAAGCTCAAGAGGGCTTAAAAAGGGTGCTGATGAGACCCGTGTGTGCGAGGCGCGCGAAAAGGCTAGGCCACGGAGAGGATGCCGAATCGACGGGTCCAGAGAACGACAGGCGAGCGATGGAGGGATGCAGCTGCTAGCTACTGCGGTGAGACGACGACGACGACGATGCTGCAGAGTGATACTCGCACAACAATGCTTCGGGCTCCAATGAAGCTACCATGCGGTGGTGATGGTGGTTCGTCGAGAAAGATGGGTGTTGCGGGCGGCTGCAGGATGTACCACGGCGGAACCTCAGGCACGGGATGCGGAGGCGGTGGTAGGTGAATATACTTGGGACCGGCGGCCAAGTGTCAGTCAGTTCAGTCGTCGATGATGGGAAGTTGGATGGATTGGTTGATGAGAGAGAAAGAGAGCGTGAGAGAGAGAGAGAGAAGGCAGGTGTAGAAAAGGGAGAGGGAAGAGACAAATTAAGTCTGTTCCGCTCCGAGATCTGAATTTGTCTCTCTTTTCTCGGTGGCCGGAGTGAAGAGTGAGCGTTATTTGTCGAGGGCTGGATGTTGGAGAAGGGGCCCCGTAGACTTTTTTTTGGGAGCAGTCGATCGGTGGCTCCCGGTCGGTTTTTGTGCGACTGGAGACAGGCGTGCTGGGCCTGGGAAGGGGGGCAATTGAGATGAAGCTAGGGTGGTTCAGGGTTGATCTGGACGAGGGACAGGTAGCTCAGGGAACACCCTGGTCCACGTCTTTAGAGTGGCTGCTAATCAAGGGTAGAGGGCTATGCCATCACGATCCCCTGCCTGACGACAATTCTCCGCGCGTCTGTGTGTGTGAGAGCCAGAGAACAGCGAGGAGTGGTGTAAGGTGTAAGTAAGGGTGTGTGGTTTGTGAACCGTGGCCTGGTCTGGTCGGCTCGACAGGACCAGGACTAGCCCGCGGTCTGTGGGCGGAGAGACAGCGGGTGGTAGTGTGAGTGGGAGCTCGAGCTGACCAGCCCGTGCCTGTGTAGTTAGATGGAGAGCAGCAGGCGTAGTCGCAATAGCCTGCAGCTCGATGGACGATGGTCAATCTGCAGATATCTGTCTGGTGGGAGGACGAGGGAGAGGCGCGGAGCGACAGACAGAGAGGCGTGTTCAACGCGGTCGTGGTGGGCGGTAGCGATGGTAGCGCTGGGTCTGAGTGTCCCTGGGTGAGATTAACCAGGCACGTATGAAGCCACAACGTAATAAGACAGTGGGGGAGACAAGAGTCAGTGAACGGGAGGGAAGTACATCATCAACGGGCAAGGTACGGGCTTGATGGAATAAGTAAAGTAAAGTAGGTAAGGTACGGTACGGTACATAGGTAGGTAGGTTAGGTTGGGTTAGGTAGGTGGACGGGACGGAACCGCGGCCGTGGTGGCCAAGAAGCCAATCGCCAAAGACAGCAGCGGGCAGAAAAATAAAATAAGGAAATCATAAAGACAGCTTCCTCCCCGTCTCCCCCTTTGGATGTGGTGGTGGTGGTGTATGTGCGTGCGTGTGTATGTGTGCCTGTCTGTCTGTACCTGTGCCTGCGTGTACAGTGAGTGGTTGCGACTTGCGAGCGAGCGAGAGAGCTCCCAGCAGCAGCAGCCATGTGCAGCGTGCAGCGCTCTAAATTTGATTGGGGAGGCGAAGGAGGGATGGTTCAGGTGGGAGTGGGCAGGGAGGGGTGCACGTTGTCTCGCATGTCGGAGCCGGTAGCAGATGGCAGATGGCTGTATGGGTATGTGTGTATGTACTGCGTCTGAGTAGCGCGTAGTGAGTATACATGTAGCCGGGAGCCAGGAAGAGGGAAAGCCAGACTGACTGGTGGATGGATGGGAAAAGGACATCGCACACTGCAGAGTACTCCTGCACGGCGCCTGGGGTGAAATGGGATGGATGGGATGGGATGCAGTGGGATGGGATAGGATGGATAGAAGGATGGATGAATGATGAGTGAATGGATGACAGGCCAACACCTAGGGGTGCTACTCTGCATCGCCGCACGCTCGCTGTACGGTGAGGAGTTGCCCGTTGAGTGGAAGGCAGCTAAGGTAGATACAGTTACGCATGCGCTAGAAAAGGCCAGAGAGAGAGGCCAGGCCAGGATCGATACAAGCCGCCGGAGTGAGTGGAGGGCCTGCGAAATTGATATGATGGAATCGTGGCAGAGAGTCCACGGTACGAAGAGTGTGTTAAATTGGGGGCTTGGGTGGGGGTTTGGATTTTTTTCCCCCTCTTCTCCTTCCTGGCTTTCTCTCCTGGACACGAAAGGAGATGGGAAAGTTGTGCTCGAAAAACGACGAGGATGTCTTGTTCAAAGGTGGCAGCCGCGGCATCTTGTCTTCCAATTTGAATTTGGCGATGGATGACAGTGCCGGACTCGATAGGCTCGAATAAGTCAGAATCGGTTGGCAGCTGTCATCGAGGTGTTCCTGGAGCTCAGAGCGTCTTAGCAGGCGAGGTAAGACAGCCAGAAAGCGGTACGTAGCTGCACAAAGCATGGCGAGCGTGGCGGCCAAGCTCCAGCCAACAGGGAGGACACGCAGAAATGATGGTGTGCCGCCGCCGCAGCACAGTATGCCTGCCACGGGTGTCGCTCTTGTTGCTGCTCGTGGTAATTATGGGTGGTGGGGACTCCTGGCCGTGGCCGTGGTCGTCCAGGGTCCAGGGAGGAGGTGGGGAGAGAAGCAGATGAGCGGACGTGGGTGCGTGGAACGAGGGGCCACGGGGGACATGGGGGGGAAGAAAGGAAAAGGGAAGCAGAGAGGGGGGCGTGAATGAATCATGACTGATTGGGGTCGAAAGAAGGTTGTGGGATGTGTGGAGAGGCGAGCGGAGGGATCGACCTGCGAGCGCAACAGAGAGATGAGATGACGGGTTTGAGATGGTGGCATTGGATGAAAAGGAACCGATCACTGTCATTAATCGCCAAGCCGGTCTGCGGTCTGCGGATACGCAGGAGGCGGGAGTCGAGGGCCTTTCGCCGTCCGATTCTTGGAATGCAGACTGAGATGGAGATGGGATGAGGCCAGGTAAGGTAGGATGAGAGTTGGAAATGGGATCAGAATAGAATGGAACATGAGGCAAGGGGCCCGTATGCGTACGTACCTTCGACGGATGCTCGAGGGTAGGCAAGGTGGGTACGAATAGGGCCAGATAGGTACGGATAGCTTTCTTTGGGCAGGCAAGGAAGCCGCGCGCAGGTAAGGAAGCGTCCAGTGTGTTGTGTGTACATCGGTACATCCAGTATCCGTACTGCAACACTCGTCGAGGTGAGGCAGGCAGTGTCGGTATCAATGGGCGCTACCCGCTCATTGGTTTCCATCTCCGGAGACCCTGCCCAACGTTGCAGGGCAAGGAGGCTTACACTGCCGTACCTAGCTGCTCGGTAAGGCAAGTAAGGGAAGCGATGCTGGGCATTGGTCAAGTCCCTACGGAAGTGTACGCCGTAGGTATTCGCAGCATGCTGGGTGCAGGCTCGCCTGGTCTGGAGCCGCAGAGATCCGCCGCCCACGCCGTCCGCCGCTGCCGTTTTGCAATTCTCCCAGGCCTTGTCTTGGACTGACGTGCCTGGCTCTGTAGGGTTCGGTGGCTCTGTGCGGACATGCGTGTATTTGTCTCGGATGTCTTCTGAGATTTCGATGCACCACGAGACAGTGATGCACGATTAAGGTAGACCGGGAAGAGAGGGGGTGTCTTAGGGAGGGAAATGGTGGTACGGGACCTCGAGAAAGGCAAGCGGCACGTTGCGCCCTAGCGCGTGGCCGGGACATGTAATTGTGGGCGCCGATATGGATGACATGCCGACGAGCATGCCAGGCCGAGGCCGGGCGTCGTCGGGACGGGCGGGTGCGAGATGTCTTGATATCGTCCTATCGCGCCTGTCTTGCTTCATGACGATAGGAGCCAGTTGCAGCTCAACTTGACGCATAGTTGGTTAGGCCTGTCAGCATTCGTGCCTGCGTCGAGTTGAGCTGAACAGTCCGCAGTACAAAGTGCAATGTGCCACACCTGGGCGAGAGACACATGCAGCAGCGCTGCTGTGTCGCTCCTGTAAAGCGAGGAAAGCCTGTCATGGCGAGGGAGATTGAGTGGTTGCAACCCAAAGCGAACTCGGGCTCCTCGTTCTCGGTATGAACGCATCCCGAAAAGGAGAAGTCCCTCTGCGTCGTAACGTGCTGTGCCATTGTGTCGGTCCTGGATCACAACTGTGACTGGGCGGTTGACGAAGGCGCAGATGAAGGCACTGAAGAAAACCAGCATGTGCCTGGCTGCCCTGGCATGCTTCAGCCGCTATCCATGGATGGCCCGTCCTGTGCCTGGTCACCGGCCAAGATGAAGTTTAGCTAACGAGCAGTAGCCACTTACCAACCCGTGGCTGACGGGCTGGCCGGGCGGGCAAGGCGAGCAAACGAACGGGAAGAGGGGGGCTGAGATGGGATGAGAAAATGGAGACGGACACGGAGACGGAAATGGAGCTAGGGCTGTAGCTGGAGCTGGAAATGGAGCTTGCCGCCCTGGAACAGGATCTGGGCCTGAACCCAGACCTGGAGATGGGGAGAGTAC